GCCAGCAGCTCTGGGGGCAGTGTGGGGAGAGGGGAGACCCCAGCAGAAAAGGACCCCCACCCGAAGGGGAGCATCAGGACTCCAGCCATCCCTGGGCTGCTTGTCATTGAGACTAGGGGCCACAGAGGCAAGGGGGTCAGATCTACAAGAGACACAAGAGCCTGGAGACAATGAGAGGGGAGAGGGAAGCAAGGGCAAGAGAGGCACCAGCTTGGGGTGGGGCCGAGGAGGGGACGACAGGAGGAGTGGCCTGCCAACCGCTGAGCTGGCAGCCCAGGCAGCACGTGGGGGAGGCAAGATCAGGGCTGGCTCCAGCCGCCCCGTGCCCTTTCAGCAGCAGCAGGCGTGGGATGAGCCCCGTGTCTGCTGCAGACACAGTTGCACGGCGCGGAGCAAGGCCAGCAGGAGCGGCGAAGTTGAAAGGTCTCTGCCGCTGCAGGTGCTGCGCCCCAGCTGCCCTTGGCCCTGTTTATCCAGGAGGCCCCATGCTCGGGCAGCCTGGGTCCCCCTGCAGCTCTGCTGAGCCAGGGAACGAACGTCAGCATTTCTGCTCCAGTAGCGTCCTCCTAGTCGGCCAGGCGTCTCCCCGGGGGGCAGCACAGATTAGCCTCCTGGATTAAGTGCTCCTGCCGCCCTCCCCCACTCATAAAGCCTCACCAAGTTGGGGGAGGGGGAGAGACGCCCAGCACAGACCTCAGGATGCTGCTGAGCTGTCACGTTCAATTCACCGCTCAGCCCCAGTGGCATTTAGGGGCAGGATGGATGGGAGCCCACCCCCACACCCCAGACAGTGTATTAACCATGCTGGCAATTAGAGCTCCCGAGAAACGGTCGGGGGAGGCTGCTTACTAGGGGAACGTGGGAGGGAACAGAGCACACTGAGCAGCAGGGGCAGCGAACCTGGGCGAAGCGGCGCTCTCCTGGGTTTGAGAAAGGACGGCATTTGCTGGCACTAAACACCTCCTGTCACAGCTCTCCACTAGAATCTCTCAGAGAGGGCGCTATGAGAAGCAGCCAAAAGGGCTTCTGGACTTCCTTCCTATGAGGAGGTCCCGGGTCATCCCAGCTCATCTCAGGTACAGCTCTTTTTTTCCAGGAGGTCAAAAAGCTTTGGCCAGAAGCAAGTGTTTGGCGCCATAGTTAAAATGCTACTGAGGACACCCACATCCCACATGGGAGTGAGTGCCTGGGTTCCAGTTCAGGCAACTCTGCTTCTTATTCCAGCTTCCTGCTAATGCACACCTTGGGAGGCAGCAGGTGATGGCTCAAGTACCTGGATCCCTGCCACCCATGTGGGAGACCTGGATTCTTAGCTCCTGACTTCAGCCTGGCCCAGCTCAAATGTGGGCATTTGGGGAGTGAACCAACAGATAGAAAATCTCCGTCTCTGATTGTCTGTTTATTTCCCTTTCTCTTTATCTCTTTCTCTGTGAGTGTGTGTGTGTGTGTGTGTGTGTGTGTAAGAAAGAGAGCGAGAGAGAGAGAGAATCTATGTCTGCCTCTCAAATAAATAATTTTTTTAAAAAATATGGAATGATAGCACTGCAGGCAGTGGCTTTACCCACTATGCCACAGCGCCTGCCCCAAATAGTTTTTTTTTTTTAAGATTTTATCTATTTATTTGAGAGGTAGAGCTATAGACAAGTGAAAGGGAGAGACAGAGAGAAAGGTCTTCCATCCGTTGGTTCACTCCCCAATGGCCGCAACGGCCAGAGCTGTGCAGATCCAAAGCCAGGAGCCAGGTGCTTCTTCCCAGTCTCCCATGCCGGTGCAGGGGCCCAAAGACTTGGGCCATCTTCTACTGCTTTCCCAGGCCACAGCAGGGAGCTGGATTGGAAGAAGAGCAGCAGGGACTCGAACTGGCACCCTTATGGGATGCTGGCACCACAGGTGGAGGATTAACCTACTGCGCCACGGCGCTAGCCCAAAAATTTTTAAAAAGTGAAATGGCCGATTTGAAGAAGCCAGTTTCTCATCATCAGAGAGAGACAAGGAGTGGCTTGGAGGCTGGGGAGTGCGTGCTCAAGACAACCCCTCGGAGAAGAGACTTCTCACAGAGGCGTGTGTGTGTGGGGGAGGAAACAGGCTCGGCTTCCTTTGACCATGCAAGGCCGTGTGGCCTCGAGGAGCACGCACCCAGTGGTGACAGAACGTGAGGAGGCCCTGGTGGCAGAATGAAATATGACAGCGCTGGTCTCCCAAGTCAACAGCCAGGGAGGGGACAGAGGTTGTCACCACTTGGCGTGCCCTCATCCCATCCTGGAGTGCCGGCTACTCTGCTTCCAATTCCAGCTTCCTGCAAATGCACACCCTTGAGGCGGCGCAAGTACTTGGGTCCCTGCCACCCATGAGGGAGTTGGTGGCTCCCAGCTTCGGCCTGGCCCAGCTCAGGCTGTTGCAGACAGTCAGGGAGTGAACCAGCCAATGGAAGATTGATAACTTTCTCCCTCTCCCTCTCTCCCTCTCTCCCCCCTCCATCTCTTCCCCTCCCTCTCTCCCTCTTGACCTCTCTTTCTTCCTTGAAAATAATTTTTAAAATGTTTTTGAAGCCAACAGCCAACCTTGAGGAACAGCTAAGAAGATGCTGCCTCATTCCACTTAGGGTCTGCCCTGTACCTTCTTCCCTGTTGACAGCATCCTGTTTCTCTCTCCTCTCTCTCTCTCTCCACCCGCCCCCCCAACCATGTCTTACAGACACACACAAACTATAGCGAGGCTGCAGGGGAGCAGGGAAAGAAGTGACACAGACAAGAGAAGTAATGCCAGCCCTACAGTGTGAGCAAGGCTCTGGGAGCAGGATGGCCTGAGCTTTGAGAGCAGCCGTGAGCAGCACAGCTAGCATTTGGGAGAGGGAGAACTAATCCCAAGCTAACAAGCGCTGTCGAGCGAGAAACAATCGCGAATCAACACCATCCAGAGAGTGGCCAGCACCAAAGGGGCTCATTCTCAGCCTCCTCGTGCAGGCGACCACGGCTCCTTGTGACTGCTGGACACTCAGCCCAGAGAAGGGAAAGAGGAGAGACGGGGAGGACAGGCAGTGTCGAGTGGTGCCTGGGCAGGTCGAGAGATCTGCCTCTCTGGAGGACAGGGGTGAAGAGGACACCTCGACCCAGAAGGAAGGCAGAGGCCTCCACGGGCAAGGCTCCGTCAGATCCTCCGGCCCTGCTCTTCCGGTTCTGAACCCATGACAACAGCAGGTGAGAAAACAAGGACGAGTCTGTCCTGCTGAAGGTTGGGCCCTGACAGGAACAAGGAAAGAAGGTGGTGTGTGGCCCCCAGCACCCCCGCCAAACTGCCCCAACCCCAGCACTGCATCTGCAGATAGCGTCTTGATGTTAAAACGAGGCCATGGGGTGGGCCGTAAGAGCCCATGTGACCAGGGTCCTCGCAGAGGAGGAAATGAGGGCCCAGCAAGTGACAGCAGGGGCACAGAGAGCCGGCCATGGGCAGGGGCAGTGGAGGGGGACGGGGACAGCGTCTGCAAGTCCAGCAGAGAGGCCCCCAAGGAATTCTGCCCGCTCCTTGATCTTGGCCTTGCAGCCTCCACAACCGTGAGGAGATGAAAGTCTGCAGTACCCAGGCTGCGGCGTTCTGTTCTCACGGAAGCCCCAGCAAACCAAGAAAGATGGCAACATCAGGGGCCGGCACTGTAGGGTAGCAGGTAAAGTCGGTGCCTGCAGTCCGGCATCTCATATGAATGGCTGCTCCACTTCTGATCCAGTTCCCTGCTCATGTGCCTGGGACAGCAGCAGAAGATGGCCCGAGTGCTTGGGCCCCTGTACTCAGTGCTCCTGCACCCACGTGGGAGATCTAGACTAAGCTCCTGGCTCCATGCTGTTGCAGCCACCTGAGGAGTTAACCAGTGGATGGAAGATCTCTCCCCTCTCTCTGTTAACTCTGACTTTCAAAATAAATATCTTACAGGGGAAAAGAAGGGCAGTGTCACTAGGGGAAGAAGAGGTGAGGGTCAGGGGAGAACAGGCGAATCCAGGAAAGGTTCTTGGCCACAGGAGTATTAATTATTTAAAGTCTTTGGTGAAGGCAACCAACTGATACTGGTTGACTGAGTTGATTGCAACACACTGGGGTCATCCTTGAATGGCGGACTCTGACTATTTTTAAAGGTCTTATCCCTTTAATTGCAATGAACTGTTCACCTTAATACACCTATCGCTCACTCCTGTGAACCAAACAAAAACACAAGGCACATCCACAGACACTCTCCACCAGGTGATGGTCGCGTGGCCCCCACCTTGCAGCAGGCCCTCAAAAGTCCATCATCCCCAGCCCAGTTTGAGACTTAGGGAGGCCCAGAGACCCTAAGGGGTGGTATACAGGGAAGCCAAGTGGTCACTGCTAAGCCTCTTTTTGACTCCTTAATCCCTAAGCAGAAGCTGAGGAGGGAAAGAAAGGATGGAAACAGAAACTCAACTCTTCAGGTTCCCTTTGGGTCGTCAGAGCCCAGTGTCCTAAGTGACAGATCCACCCTGTTTGCACGTGCCACTGGAGCACGGGGGCTCCAGGCAGCACCACTGACACAGGAAATGGATGCCAAGACTGTGCCCCTATACCAAAGCCTCGGCAAGACATCAAGAATCTCCTGAGGCTCAGAGTAGATAAGTAGACATTCAGAATGTCTGTCCAAATGCACGCTCCAGGGGCTGTGGCCAACTCGGTTCAGCAGCTCTGAGGGGGTTATCTTGGGCAGAGGGCAAAGAGTGGCCGGTCTGGTATGGACGGTGGCCAGGGAAGGACGTCTCCCTCCTGCTGAGCACTCTCCTTGCTTCCCCGGAAGCAGAGCCCTGCCCTGTCCCCGCAGGCCCAGCACCGGGCTGAGTCACAGGCATGGCAGCTGGCTGGCTGCGTAGGAGCCAGCTCCCTCCAGGACATGGAGGCCAACCAACAGACGATGCCAGAGGTGACAAACGGGGAGGTGCCCCAGCCCTGCCCACCCCACCCCACCCCCGCCTCACTGCCCCAACCTAACCGGGGGGACTCACGTCTGTGGTTCTCGTTTCTGTGGTTGGGAGGGGACCGGGTCTCCTGGTCCTGGGCTTCGTCCCCCTCCTCGCTGGCCAGGTGAGTGTGAGCGTAGTGGTAGCTGAGTCCCGGCCGGTTCTTGTAGCGCTTGCCACAGACTGGAGGGGAAAAGAGGAGACAAAAGAGGGAAGTGTCCACATCAGCAACTGTGGCTGCCACGACTCCCAGCGCAACGCTCCTTCTCCCAAGGCGGCGGAACCAACGCCGTCATAGCACAGCAGCACAGAGGGTAAGAGCCATGGGCACGCGCCACCATTTCCTAGCTGTGAGTCCCTGGACAAGCCACAGAACCTCTCTGTGCCTATGGTTCTGCAGAGAGGACCCGGGAATGACGGGAGAACTCACCTCTCAGGGCTTCTCAACCTCACTTAGAAGAGCCCTGGGCGCGTGCCTGTGGTGACTGTTATTGTAACATGGAATCTACCAGAGAAACATTCCCAGCACAGACGAGGCACGCAAGGCCCAGCCCTGCTAAGTGATTTCCCTGGGAACACACAGCTAGTTGCGGCCGATGTGTCAGAACCCTGCTGGCCGGGACTCCTACAGCAGTGCTCTGTCCGCCACCCTGAGGTTGAAGCAAACAGTTTCATCTGGATAAGACGCTCGCTGTTCCCCTTCCATGCATCCGTGGTGGACGTACCCCGCCTGGACTTGGTGCCTGCCTGCCCCACAGTCCGCGACAGGTGCTTCTGGGAGCAGCCTGCGACAAAGGCAACAAGCAGTGTCGACATGGCTTGGTGGAGCCAGGAAGAGAGGGAGTGGTTCCATGGCGGGCTGCCCAGCAGCTGGGTGGCAGGAGGCTGGCGACCTGGCGGCAGACAGAGCTCCAGCTTCAGGCTCCCTGCACGCACAGCCCCAGATCTCGGGCCTCCCCCCACTCCTGCTCAGCTGCACACTCGAGGCTCACACACTGTCCCTGCTCCTTACACTGACGCTCACAGGTCACATCAGTACACACCAGCACTTCCCAGGGTGGAATGGGCACAGACTTCAGCACAGGCCGGGGTGCAAGGCCCACGTGCGGCTGCTGGAGCACCGGCCACGGGAGCCTGAGCGTCCGGAGAGGAACTCCTGTCTGGCCTTCTCCTTCTGCGGGTTATCTCTCTCTTTCTTGCAGCAGCCAACCATCGGTAAAAATAAATAATGCCATTTTTCCTCTCCTGTATTTATATAAACTTATTTTATTTTTGCTTAATTCACATGTAAAAATCACCAGGACAATATTTCAAAACAGTAAAAGCAAGAATTTCCTATTTTCATGAATTTGGATTTATGGTTTCACTGTTTCAAATGATGTATGTGGCTAATTTTTTAGTCTTTATCAAATTTAAGGAGTTCCTCTCCTTCCTGTCTTAGAGTTTTATTATAGGAGGACTTTATCAGCCGCCCTCAGCACCTCCTAATGTATGTTTTCCTTTAGTTTGTTGATACGGGGAATTGCGTTCATTTTAATATTTCACATTATGGAGCCTCTCTTGCCTTCCATTCTGTTTGGTCAGAGCATATGATTCACTTGACAAACTGCTACGTTCTGTCTGCTGATGTCAGATCTGTAACTCAGACCTGAGATAGATCTATAACGTCTGGACAAACTCTCACCAGGTTCAACTTGATGGTACTACGACTTCCAAAACTGAAGAGTTTCGCTGTGTGACACTGGACGAGGCACATGCTCTCTGTGCCTCTTTTATGTGAAAACCGGGATACCAACACTTACCTGGAAGGACAGTTAAAGGGATTATGAACAGTGTTCATGCAGCGTCTCGCTCACCATGACACAGAATAGATGCCGAGTGAATGGTAAGGGACGGGCAAGGGTGCCCATCGTGTTTGCCAAGTCTTAGGTGAGGACCCCCCCCCAAAAGAAGGACTTCACCCTGGCCCCATGCTGTGGAATCTGGCAGTGGACAGGACTTCCTTGAGAAAACCAAAGTTCCAAATGCAAGTTGGTGCCTCACAATCGTAACTTCCAGGCCTAATATTCAATCGCTTCTTTATATGGTCTCTCTCTGTCTCGTATATATATTGCAAAAATAAACACCAAGGCTGGTGCCTCCCATGTGACCCCGGCAGCAGGACCCACAGAAACCCTGAAATGTGGTCTAGGGCCTGCTTGTGGCTTTTTCTACTTAACTCTGAAATGATCTGAGGTCAAAAAGCAGCAAATTAGGGGGTCACTGGATATGAATCCATTTAGCCACTCGGCATACGGATGAGGAGGAATAAACGTGGATCAAAGCAATAACAGTACCAGTATCAACACCAGGCGGCCTCTGCAGCTCTCCCCGTCATGAACTCACAGCATTTCACTGGTGCCATTTGTTATGTCAATCATCACCGTTTTCCTTAAGCCACAGAATTTCTGGATCTTAATGAGCAAATTTATTCCCACGAATACTCCCGAAGCCTGTCCTGTCACGTCCCGCCAGAGCGGGCCTCTCTCCTTCAGACTCCTGGAATTCGGGCTACGTCTGTGCTGGACGGCCTCCCTGAAGACGAGTTTCCTGTTGATTTCTGCCTGACATCCACAACTGCATCTCATCGGCCTCCAAGCCACGCTACACCCTCGGAACAACTCACCGAGTGGCTGATGAATGAACGCTTGTGGGAAAGCCAGGAGATGGGCGAGGAGTGAGCTCGGAGAGTCAGATCCATCAGTGCACATTAATTTCCTACCAACAGCTCTTAAAACCCACAAAGCCAGACCCAAGCAAAATCTCCCTCCTTCTCCTCCTCCCTAACCAGTGTGGAGAGAAATCATTTTTAGAGCAAATCATTTTTGCTGGAACAGAGATTCTCAAAGAGTAGGCCCTAAACCAGCATCGTCAACACCACCTAGCAACCTGTCAAGACACACAAATTCTCCAGCGGCACCCCTGCCCCACTGAAGCAGTGACTCGGGCAGCCGGGCCCCAGCAACCTGTGTTTGTAACAAACGCCGTGAATTAGAGGCTGCCATGCACACTGAAGTTTGAGAACCACTAAGTGAAAAGATCGGATATATTCAGGCTTGACTCCACCCGCCCGTGTCCACCTGCCCCTCTGGGTGGATGGACGTGGCAGGTGGGGGCACTAGAGCAGCAGGAGCAGCCCTGAGAAGCAGACAGCACCTGGAGGTCCCGCAACCCGGACACCTTTAGGAAGAGCACTCTGAGCAGAGCTCTGCTTTTGGCCACCTGTGTATAACAAATAAGTCACTCCTTCATCACCAGGCCTTCAACTCAAGACGACGTTTATTAAATAAGCACCTAATAGATGCCCCGCCCTGTGGCAGCAAAGGAACAAAGATACACGACCCTCAGAGCCCTCCAGCAGAAGAGACAAGCCAAGGGGAGGAGGCACAGGTGCAGCCAGGAGAGCAGGTGCCTGGCAAAGGGGAGCCTGCAAGAGGGATGGCAGATGGCTTGAGGGAGTCAGGGGGTGGCTTCCCAGAGCAGGAGCCATGCCCTGCAGTGCAGGAGACGAGCCCGGCTACCCCAGGTGGACAAAGCGGGCCAGGGCATTCGGGGCACCAAGGCACAAGCACCTCAAAGTTCAACAGAACTGCAGAAAAAGAAGGGTGGGGGTGAGTGTGGGGGGGGTTCACAAGGTGGGCAGTGGCAGGGGAGGGTTTTACCCAGAAGACCACCTTAATTAGACGTACGCATTGGAAATATCATGTAGGATCACAGAGCAGAAGATGGGTCTGAAGGTGGTGAGAGGCTGATTTCCATTGTCTATGGGTGAAGTACAGGATTTTTGCTTGGAGAAGGAAACTGGGGTACAAGAGAGAAACTGCTGGGAATGGGGGGAATGAGAGAAAGCAAGGGGGAGCTGAGAGACGTGGTCTCCTTGGCGTGCACTGTCCAGTGTCCAACTCTCCAGAGCCTCATCTGATGCGACATCCCACCCCTCCCCAGCCCTCCTGCCTGCTGGTCTTCCCATCTCCTAAGTGCTTTTGGGGGGCTGGTGCTGTGGTACAGTGGGTTAAACCGCCGCCCATGACACCAGCATCCCACATCCCGAGTGCTGGTTCAAGTGCCAGCCACTCCACTTCTGATCCAGCTCCCTGCTAATGCACCTGGGAAAGTGATAAAAATGGCCCAAGTGCTTGGGTCCCTGTACCCATTTAAAAGACCTGATTTGGGGTCGGCGCCACGGCTCAATAGGCTAATCCTCCGCCTTACGGCACCAGCACACCGGGTTCCAGTCCCGGTCAGGGTGCCGGATTCTGTCTCGGTTGCCCCTCTTCCAGGCCAGCTCTCTGCTATGGCCTGGGAGTGCAGTGGAGGATGGCCCAAGTGCTTGGGCCCTGCACCCCATGGGAGACCAGGAGAAGCACCTGGCTCCTGCCTTCGGATCAGCGCAGTGTGCCGGCCGTGGCAGCCATTGGAGGGGGAACCAATGGCAAAGGAAGATCTTTCTCTCTCTGTCTCTCTCTCTCACTGTCCACTCTGCCTGTCAAAAAAAAAAAAAAAGACCTTAATTGGATTCTAGGCTCCTCCTGGCTTTGGCCTGGCCCAGCCTTGGACATGTGAGGCCATCTGGGGAGTGAACCTGCAGATGGACGATCTATCTCCCTCTCTCTGCCACCCCTGACCCATCAGCCCCATTAACATCTAACTGCCTCCAGATCCCAGTTCATGGGTCCTTCCCTAAGGAAGTCTTCCTAACCAGAATTAGGACTCTGTTTTCTACCCACCCCCAGGAGGAATCCTAAGCACCACGTGGCTCTGCCATAGGCAGCAAACGTGGCAGGCCCCGTGTGTTCATGCACATACCACCCCCAGTGGCCAGGGCAGCCCTGACCTGGGCCAGGAGCCCGACACTGGCTCAGGGAACAAGGAAGATGCCAAGGCTCCTGGACAACAGGAAAAGCAGATTTAAGGAAGGAAGCAAAGCAGTTCGGGCAGGGGTTGGCTTTGTGTTCCGGGAGCTCAGGAGAGAGGCATGAATCCTGGACATGCCTGGCAGGATAGTGACGTGAGCCTTGGGGATGGAACAGAGAAGCGCCGAGAGGGTGCAGAGAAAGAAAAGATACATCAGCATCCACAGAGACAGTGGAGAGAGAGAAAATGGCTTTACACAGGTTAAGAAACACACAGGAGCCCACAGAGGA